TACACCACACATACCCACGACATGCTTTGTGGTCCAACGTTGGACACCTGCCGGAAGGGAGCTCATGGCGCGAGCCAGACTGGTCCAATCGGTCTCCAGCTCCGCCTCCGGTGTAATCGTCTGCCGCCCGTGCCATCGCTTGCGTAGAGCAGGCAGCGCCACCAGTTCCTGGACCTGTTCTGGATTCAATCGCGACTGTTTGACGTCCCCAATGTAAAGGGCAGCCAATTCGGTAAAGAAACGAGCGTTAGGTGCGATCAATCAGTGTGAAGCTTCGAGCTGGTGGCGATAAGCGACCGCCCACGCATCCACTTCCACATTCCGTTTGGACCACCAAGAGAGACACGAAAAGGATGTCGCCTTATCAAGGTGAGCGTACACGTGGCTAGGTTCCCACGAAGCCCTAGAGCGGGCAAGTGCCTCCCGGATAGAGGAGACCAGGTCAAACTGGGCTTATTGCGGTGTGACTTGATTGTCACTAAATGTGTTGAGCAGCGCCGAAAATCCATCGCACGCAATCCTGACGCAAGGTGGTGATCAAAGTGTTGGAGCCCACTGGTCGAGGAGCCAATCAACAACCATGATACCGGCCAGTAGGCCAATCAATTCACTCCGCTGCGCGCTCTGGTCATCAGGTAGACCCGGAGTCTGGCACCGGACGATAATACGTTCCTTGCCACCCTTATGTGGAACCAGTTGAACCGCTGCCGTGCCCAGACCGAGCTTATAAGAACCGTCGCTGATCACACACAGCCGGTCGTCGAGTAGGGCTTCAGCAAGAAGGCTTTCGTCGCCATCGATCTCTATTTCATCAGGGGTCCAGCCAACATACTCGGTCACCTTGGCTGAGGCGGCCATCCAGGCGGCCAGCAGGGACGGTTGAGAGTCGTGATGCGGCCGCAGCGGTGCTGTCCCCATGCCGGTGAGGGCTAGAGAACCTAGCGAAGGCGTAATGTGGACGGTAGCTCGGCACAAGTCAGCTGGGAGTGGTTGGGCTCGTTATGTGGTCGTTTGCACCCGGACAGTTGCGTAGAACGAGTATAGTCCCATTGAGTGCTCCGTGTGGAGGAGCGACGGTGACGGTAGTGTTGCCAACCGTGACCCTGGCGGTGGAACAAACCATAACCAGTTCCAGTTGTCGAGAGGATCGAACCATGGGCCCAGAGGATGACGCAGTAGGCGCTGGGGTCCGTCAGAGACAAGTAGTGCTCGAGTAACGTGCTCCTGTCACACCCTCCAATGGTGCCTGTGGGGCCGGACGGTGCGAGGCCATTGATATGAAGACCGATGAGCGTAGTCACGTTCCCCATGCCACATGGACTCTCGAATGCTGCGGCCATCGGCCGTCAAGATGTCGCAGACGGTACAAACTTGGAGGAACATATGGCACCAGTTGAGCCACTTCAGAGCGTCCTGATCCACTTCAAACTCCATAAATACCTCAATGAGCAAGGCACCGCCTTCGCATCGGAGAGGGAGGACAGGAGAGTCAAGAGCAACGTAGATATCCAAGTCCTCCAACTCTTTCCAGACTCTTTTGAGCCAAGTATCTGACGCCAAAATTGCCGTGTTGCTATAGTCCTGCTGGAAGAGTCCGAAGGAGGTACCGGTCTCAAGTTGGTGTTCTTGAACCGCCGCCTCCATATACGCCCCAGTTTTTGTTCGGTTGGACAAGGCTTTTTCTTCCTTCATTCGCTCCTCCCTCCTTCGTCTGTTCCTTTTTTTTATTCCTATCCTCCTTTTCCTTCTTCTTCTCCGCGGCACTTTTTCTTCGCATTTCATCCTGTTCTTCCATTAATTTCACCTTCTTCTTCTTGATTAGCACTACAACTCCTGGCAAAAGGAAGGAGTTCCGCTTTCTCTCTCTTGTTGTGTTGCCAGATTGGTATCGTGGAGACTTTGTTTTGGAGCCATCTATTGATTAATTGTATTGTTCTTTTGGGAGTTTACCTATGGAAAGAAAAGGGTAGTGCTAGATACCCGAAGAACGAGGAGGTTAGCTAGATTTCAACAGTGCTGTTTTTTTGTTTGTTCAAACCAACGTTGCTTTTTCGTTTGTTCAAACCAACATTGTCACAAGTGTTATCGTCCTTGCTATGGGAGGCTAGAATGTCTAGAGCAAGAATTGACATGGCATTTGTCATGATAAACTAGTGAAAAGAGCAGAAGATCAAGTGCAATGAAGTCTTTTATTTTATTTTGATGTGAATTGTGAGTTGAGGTTGTCGAAACCTAATTGAGATTTGGCCAATCAGAGTCGTTCGATTTCAAAATGCACATGCATGGACAATCGTCCAGCTCAAGGTGTTCTAACGTCAGGCAGACAGACGGAATGTCGGTTAGTACGCCAAATTGAACGTTGGTGAACGTTGGCGATGCTAGCGATCGTTTACGTGCATGTTTTCGCACACAATTCAATCAAGTTTGACGAGCATCTACGCATCCCAATGAAGCTGCATGGTACCTTCTCTTATTTTGTCACAAGAAAACCTACAGTTGAACAGTTAAATGATGCTGATCCTAATCACGTCTACATGATGAC